CAGGCCTTCGTTGTTTCCAACGGGGCATCCTGGCCTGTGATTCTGGAACGGCTGGGAACAAGGACCACATGCAGCGTGAGGCCTATACTGCTTGCGAGCCGCGATAATATCTCGCAACTGGGTCCGCGCTTCTTGAATTTCAGGGCGGCGGATGTTTGTTGCAAGCTGATAGCCTCCACGGATGGGTCTGCCATCGCCGTCCCTATAGGCAGGATTGCCCTGGCCGAAGGCCGAGTGTTCCCCTTTTCGGCGTCGTGGGTCGCTGTATGGAAGTAGCTGGCCACCTCTTCTGGCAGCGTGTTCCCTTGGGCCAGCCTGACTCCAATCACGAGGGAGTCGAGCCTGAGGATGTGGCTCTCCTCTGACGCGCGTATGGGAACGAGATCTTCTGGTGTTCTCATCAGAAGAGGCTGCTGATGCAGCAGGAGCGGCACCCGTTGGAGGTGCTTGAGGAGGCTCCTCTGCGATCCCGGGTGGATCGCTCGATGGAGGCAGGTCTCCCTGCTGGGTGGAGCTCGGCGCAAGTGGCTCTTGTGCCGATGGTGATGATGATTCAGACTCATCAGGGTCGAAATCGACCTCTTCCTCACCAGTCACGTCCATCATGAGGATGGTGACGTCATCCTCATCTAACCCACAACCATCGCCTTCTACTTCTTCTGATGTCGAACTACCAATTATGATGGCCATTGGCGCATCTGGTAAAGGCAGGTTTCCCTGCATGGCCGGCGTCTGGCCGTCACTCGGCTGTCCTGGAGTAGGAGGCACAGTCGTCGGCTCAGGGTCATCGACGAGCATAGGCTGCCTAGCAATGTTACGCATGGCCGTATGGTTTGGCCTCATCCCCAGCTCCTGGAGATTCCATCCTGGCGGGGGAAGATCATGACCACGCATGGCCATTGCCATTTCCAGGGCACGACGCCATCTACCATGGGAGTATACTAAGCGTCGTTGCACTTCCTGAGGATTTATACTGTCAATGAGAGACAAAGCTGCCAAGAGTAGCTCTGAGCTACCGCAAGCATCATTATCATTATCTGTCATAATACCAGCTTCAATTTGTTCTTGACTCTCAGGATATGCAATTGCATGTATCTCATGCATCCACATGAGGGTCTGCAAAAGTGTACGCGGTCCATATTCGCCTGGAGCAAGCGAACCAGGAGGTATGAACGGAGAACCTGGTTCACCTGCAATGAAGGCCTGAACAAATGCTTGAGACTCCATTTCAATTAAGTCTTCAATAGTATGGGGATATTCTCCCAGCAGAAAAGGCCTGTGTCCAGGCGGGATTTCGGGCGGAGGTTCGAGGTTCTGTTGAACCTCGGAAGGCGAAGCCTCTATAGTGGTGCCCTCGCCGTCGCTCTCGTAGGCCATGATGTTGCCTGGGTTCCCGAACATCCAGTCGAAGAAGGAAAGAGGCTCGTTTCCGAGCGTACCGTGTACCGCGGGAGTGAGTTCATTACTGCCCGCGACGAACCGGCGGACGTACTCGAGGTAATACGCGTAGAATCCATGACCATACCCCTCGAGCTCGTCAATGTTGTCCATGCCAACGACCCATGTGAAAAATATCTGTTCCATAGCCTCAAAGTCCTGGAGGCTCAGATACTCAATGGATGGTGTGCTTGAGCCGAAATGGACTTCGGACGACATGCCCTTTCCATTTCCCTTCGCTGGACAATCTCGCACAGGACGATCGGTACTACCACGCTCATGACATTTGAGAACCTGGCCGTCTCTACCTCGCGGGTTTCCCCGCCTACCTTTGCCTTTTCCTGAGGTCTCTCTACGGCCTTTACCGCGGCCTTTTCCCCCAAAGAATATCTCATCATGTTGTTCACCTGAGAGCCTCTGGAGAAATGCCGCGATACCTCGCCCGTTCAACCTCCGACGACCACGCTTGCCTTTACCCTTTCCTTTAAAACTTCTGCGTATCCTCCTTCTAACACGACGCACTGGTTTTCGTGTGAACCTCCTCCACCTTCGCTTAGCCTGTTGTAACAGCCAGAATAAATGCTCAGCACGCTGATTGTCGTTATCCATATTCATGATATCTGACCAATCTAGATCTTCAACACCATGTGATGATATAGTGTCTGTGTCGGTGCCGGAGTCGAAATCTTCGTCTCCTAAATAGGTGGATACACCGTCGGTTAGGGGATTTGATTCCCCCCATAACGAGCGGTGTGGTTGTGGTTCTCTAGAAGGAGGGCTGGTTGCCCAGCTTGCTTGTGATCGATCCCCTGCTAATAAAGCAGTGGATTCTCCTGGGTCATCGGCCCATAGGTTTGAGGGCCCGTTTCCAGGCTGGACTTCAGTAGTCAAGGTAGTGTAGAAATTTCCACTACCAGATCCCCTTCCTCTTCCAAACACGGATCCTATGTTGCCGGGGGATCGTTCGGATAGGTGACCTACCGAACGCATCCTTTCCAGCAACTCATCATATTGTTGTTGTGTTCGAGGCATTTGGTGGTTGAGTGGCTGCAAGAAATGCATGGCTTTCTGGTTGCCGACGCCTAAGGCGCGGAATAGGATAGTAGCTAGCAGTTGGAAGTTAGGAAGGTCGAATCCCACCGACTGTGCCTCAAGTCGGGCCATTTCGAATCGGGTAAGAGTGACGTCGATTCGTTCCCCGTGAGGCACATGGAAGTCGATGAGTTGTGTGCCGGAAGTGAGCTGTCGCTCATCTTCCAGGCGTTCGAACTTCATGCTGAGGAGGAACATGATGTAAGTTACTGGGTCCGTGTGGACCCCATCAATGTCAGCACCATAGTTTATAATGTCAGGCGGTACCCTCATGGCGAGTGTCCTCGCTAGGCCTCCCAGGCCGCGTTGTATTGCGGCCGCTTGGGCCTGTGGCGTCATACGTCCGCTTGTAACGTTGAGCCACGCGTTGACCTCGTAAATGTACTCACGAAAAGGTACATTACCCTGAGGGTCCCAGTATGGGCCATGTGTTTGCCCATCGGTGCTGTTATCTCCCCGACGCATGTGTGCGATTGCTGCCCCCAGCGCGAACCATATGATAGCGAAAACGATTAGCCCAAGAATGTGTAACGAAGAATGGTTATGATGAGCGGTGCCACGCTGGGGTAGCGCCTTGTCGAGTCTTCGAGGCGCTCTGTCTGGCGGGTTTCCCCGCCCTTGCTTCAGGTATTGCGTTATTGGCTCGTTGCCGAGCGGTTGATAGTAACGCAATGATGAAGCGTATATGGTACCAATATGGTCGTCTAGACGTCGCACCTCTCGTGTAGCTTCTTGCTCTTGAATAGATCCTCGTAAATGCACTGGGAGTGGTGGCGCAGGGTAGTAGGTGGTCACGAAGATCGTGCCGAAGAATGTGAGGCTGAGAAGAGCAAGAGCTGACCACACGAGAGTGCGGCCAGCTCCGCTACCAAGTCGAAAGTGAGCTTGGTAACTCAAATAGGGCATATAGCCTGTCATATAGCATCCGATTCCAAGGCGCTGACCGTGGACATCGGATGGCAAATAGCGTCCATCGCTCTGCTGTAGCTGTGAAGGTACAGTATGAGGGGTGGGCGGATAAGATAGGATAAGATCGATGTAATGATCTTTCCAGCACATAGCGAACACTCGCGGTGTCCGGGCAAATAGGGCGCGCGTGCCTTGAGCCCAAGGCAGCGGCGCGCGAGCTATGCCCCCGATACTGTAACATCTCCCAAAGAGCTACCCTTAAAGTCCGTTTCCCTCGGGACACCTTCCCGCCATGGCGAGAAGGAAAGGCGGGGCCCTGTTCTGACCCGGGTCAATGCAAATCTGGGGCAGTCAGGCCTTGCAGGATCTGCAGGATCCTGCAAGCTCCGGCAAGCTCCTGCAAGATCCTGAACCCAAACCCGGGGTCAGTGCACCCCTGGCCCTGCGGGATCCTTCAAGGTTCGGCGCTCTGACTGACCCCCGTTTGCACGGACCCCCGCCTCTTGAGCCCCGAGCCCTGTTGATAGCCGCCCGCCCGGTTGGGAGGCCGCCTTCCCTGACTCGCCCCGCCCCGCTCGCGCTCGCCGCTGGGCGCTGGCCCAGACCGCCAGCGCCACGAGACAAGGCATCACCGCTGCCAGCCTTTTCCTGTGCAAGCTCGGCGTCCGAGGGCCGATTGCGGGCCCTCGGTCGGAGAGTTCCGCCTGCTCTCAGATCGGGCGTTTCGTCACTGGGGGGGCAACAACGGGGGGGGGGGGAGACGGGTGTACTTTTCGTGCGCCTTCGGGGCCCCAGGACGCCCCTATCCTGCAACCCTCGGTCCCCGCCCGCTCACCGCCCCCCGACCACGACACGCCAGACAAGAGGTGGGATGGGGATCTCGGGGGCCCACGTCGCGAGGAGGCCAAGACGCTACGCGGGCAGCGATCCCGATCTCCGTCGCGCACCTGGCACAGGTACCTGCCGTCCTGGGAGCACGCGAGCCGCGCACCTGCGCACGCCGATCCTGGCCAGGCCAGCCGTGGGCTCAGCATCGGGCCTGTCCGCCGCGTGCCGGGAGCGCTGATGCACCGATCCTGGGCTCACGATGGGCCTGGCCGGGGTCGGTGCGCGGGGGTGAGATGATCGGCGCTCCTCCGGCCCGAGCCCCATCTTTTTCGCAGGGGTGCCTCCCAACGAGTTGGGGGCAGTCGATGGTCTGCGGGAAGGGCTGCCTGGGCCTGGGCAGCGGGCGGCTTCGCCAAACCTCGCAGGATGACTCCGCCGCGGCCCCGTGGAGACTACCAGGGCCTGCTGCCCTCGCCGCAGCGCGTCGCAGGGCGCCAAAGATCCAGGAGCATCGCGGGCGGGGTCCCGCCCAGCACCCTTCAGCAGCGCACCGTCACGAACAGAAGCCCGAACGCGAATAGCTGGGACGCAGCGCAACCTGATATCAAGTAAGTCATCCTGCCGCGGCGCTGCCAGCTCGAGAGCGCGGTGAGGGCCGCAGAGACCTACGCGCGAGGTGCCCGCGCGCAGAGAAACGAACACACACGCGAAGGGACTGTGCAGGGCGAGGGCGGCTACACCAGCAGAGGCGAGGCGCCGCCCAGCTGCCACACCTCGGACCAGAAGCGGCAGAAGTCGGCCCGGTAGCCGCCCTCGAGCGAGTCGCCACTGGCGCGCAGCACCAAATTTGTCATGTTCTCCCCGCCGAAGGCGGGGAACGACCCGTCGCTCGGGGACGGCGCCAGGTGCTTCGCGAAGTCGGCCCAAAGCCTCTGCATCCTGGCGCTGAGGGCCTCCGCCGAGATGCGGCGACGTGGACCACGAGCAATCCCCACCCGAGAACGCGAGGCGGGGTACCCAGGGAGTAACGACACCACAGTAGAGGCCTCCTAGATGGGGTCGGAATAAATGGGGTGAGAGGATCGCGCGCATCGCCGATACATTGGCGATGCATCGGCAACGTATCGGAGATGCATCGGCGATGCACTGGAGTTGCATCGTCGACGTTGGTGTTGAATCGGCGACGTCGACGCGAAGCAAATCGGGCTCCACATCGAGCCGCATCTCCGATGCATCGGCGATGCGGCGCGGTCCTCCGACCCCATCTACTCCGCCCCCGTCTAGGAGGCCTAGAATTTGAGCCTGGCGGCCGAGGCATGCAGTCCTCATTCGTCGAAAATGCGAGGCGGAATACCCAGGAGCACCTGTACGCTTTGGGCCTGGCGACCGCTGTATGCAGGGTGTTCGAGGCTGGACGGGAGTTCTTGTCTTTAAGTCTAACAACCCCACCATGTCGGGTGGGGGGAAAGAACGCTTGAACTCTCCCGACACCGCCAACATCACCGTGGAACAACAAATCTGGGGCCCAGCGCCGATCCAAAATTCGCGCGGACCTCTAAACATTACCCTTTATTCCCTAAGCATTGATTGCACTTAGGGCTTCTTACCATTCATCTAAAGAGCTGGACCGTGTGGCCAATCTCGCGGCAACGTCGCCGCCGTCGCCGCCCCGTCGCCGCCTCCTCGCCGCCCGTCGTCTGGGCCATGCGGCCGGTCTGGCGCCTAAGTCGTCGCCGTCAGCGCCCCGGCGCCGCCTCATCGGCGCCCGTCGTCTGGGTGGTCAGGCGGAAATGTTGTCGCCGTCGCCGCCCCGTCGCCGCCTCGTCGCCGCCCGTCGCCGCCATTGGATGGCACCACATAGACTGCACGAAAAAAGATCGCGCCTGCGGCGCGCAAGATTCAATCGCTCAAAGCATACATGCACCACCAATGTTGCACAGCTACATAGATTGCATCATATTGAGTGCACGGCCATCAAGGTTGCGCGACCTATATTGCACAACAGATATTGCACATCCGCATCGAATGCACAACCTACACAGCACCACACAGGTTGCGATGTATATATTACACCACACGTATTGCACCGTGCGTGTATATATATATATATACAGATACAAGACTACATTGGCGTTTCGCGCCATGCACCTTGGTCGTCCAAATCTAATATGCAGACACCATGAGAGATACACACTAATAAAACAAACGGTCGCTTTGGTTTGGAGTTTCCGTCATACCATTATCATATTGAAGTCCCACCAGCCCTTTGGGCGTGAGTGGTTTAGCGAGCTTTCTCTGTCCTCAACCCCCCAACCCCCTTTCCTCCCCTTCGGGGAGGGGTTTAACCCCTCCCCCTACCCCCTTCCCCTGGACCTGGAGAGGGCGGGCCGAGCGTCGTCAGGGCGGTTTTTCTCGACTCCTGGGAGGGCTAAAAAACGACGACCCTCACGAGGATTCTGCCTTCGACGGGGGGACGCAGAAAAAACCCTCTCCTCTTCTGTGAAGCCAAAATCATTGATTGTACTACGGTTTCGGCCCCATTTTTGGCCTTCTGAGGGGGCAGCGCTCCTTTTCCTTTTTCTCAGAATCATTGATTTTACGAAGGTTGTGGGCTCATTTTGTCCTTCTCAGGGGGCAGCGCTCACTTGCGCTTCTGAGGAGGTCGCAAGAGGCCCCCAAGAGGCCCCAAGATGCCCCGAGGAGGCTCCCAACAGGCCTCCAAGAGGCCCCCAAGAGGCCCCCAAAAGGGTTTTTTTTTTTTTTTCACCCCAGATCCAGCGCCGCGGACTCCGCCACGCTGGAAGCTTGCCGCACTGAGCTCAGTGCGGCCCCGCGAGGCCCGCGGGCCTCACCCACCTCTCCTCGTGGGCACCATCTCGGCGGGGAGCGGCCTGCCCGTCTGCGGGTGGCAGCCGCGGAGGATGCGGTCCCCCAAGAGGCCCCCAGAGGCTCCCAACAGGCCCCCAAGAGGCCCCAAGAGGCCCAAGAGCCCCCAAGAGGCCCCCAAGAGGCCCCCAAGAGGCCCCCAAGAGGCCCCCAAGAGGCCCCAAGAGGCCCCCAAGAGGCCCCCAAGAGGCCCCACGAGGAGCCCGAACGACTCACACCAGGACGAGGGGCCCGAACGACTCACACCACGAAGAGCCCGAACGACTCACACCACAAGGAGGGGCCCGAACGACTCATACCAGGACGAGGCGCCCGACCGACTCACACCACGAGGAGCCCGAACGACTC